TGTGAAGGTAGAAAGGTTGTTTTCGATAGACCATCGGATCAAATAACAGTGAAGCAACAAACTTTAACAACAACAACAAACAGCAAAGACACGACGTGTAATAACAAAGATCTAGAAATAAGAAATACAAGAATAGTACTAATACTACTTGTGAGAATGACAAAACATGTAATAATAATGATCTACGAACAAGAAAAAATAAAAATATTACTTAGGTAAAATTCGATAGTAAACATTAACTAGTATCATAGTATGGTACCTAACATGCTTCTATAACAAGTAAATTATATCGGTAGTATAAAAATTGACATCAACTGGCTGACATTGGCCAGGCAAAGGAAGGATACGTCGAATCAAGATTGGAAATGACAGGTTCTTGGCCTTGCACATTTTGACAAATCCTATGTTATATCGAAGAATACTATATTACGTATTTAATGTGGTAATTGGTAAAGGATGAAGAGCCCTTGTCTTGTGCCTACCTTTACGCAATACAATATCGTAGTTCAATATAATTTAAGTTTAAGGTTTTGGGATTCCAAAAAGGACTAGAAAATGTGTGATTCCATCTTGATTCTCTGTCCCTCTTGTCTCTCATGTTGCTGCTTTGGACTGCGTTTGAGTTCAGTGGAGAGGGTGGGTGAAGAAGATCTGATAGGATCTCCAATATTTCAGGAGTCACTCACTTATATTTTAGAATTTCAATTTAAGGAGGGACTACACTTATGTATCTAAGTGTGTCTCCAAACTCAAACCATTTGAAAATAAATTACATTGTAGCTGCCTTTTGATTAGGGGTGTACATAGGTTGGGTTGGTTCGGATTTTACAATTACCAAACCAAATCAATTGTGTAGGATTATTAAATCTAAAGACCAAACCAAACCAATAAAACTCGGGTTTTTCGCTCTCGTGTTTTCTCGGGTTTTTTTTCTGTAAAATCTTCGTAGAACAAATATATAAATTGTGCTCAAAATATTTCTTTAATCCTAGTAAGATACAACTATTAAAGTGTTTTCCAAGAAAATAATACAAACTATGAGATGTTTCATGGCATTATCCTAAAATATTCAACAATAAAATTATGTAATATAAATATTGCTAATTAAAAAGCCATAATAAAAATAAACATAATCTAAAAGTACTAAGTCATGATAAAATAAGTAGACTAATAAGGAAGTATTAATTACATGGCTAAACGCTAAAGAAAAAATAAAAATAGGTTATGCCTTTTTATCTAAATTATTGCATAACAAAAAATAGATATTCAATACATACCCGTTCGTAGTATTGAATTGAATGTCTTTTGTTAGCATTAGTATTGATTTGATTTTGGTTTAGGACTTTGTTAGCTTTATTTACTTTACTAACGTTTAATGGCTATAAAACTTATTGAACATTCAAAAGTTCCAAGTCCAACCTTGAATAATACCTTAAAAGATAGAATTATGAAATTTTTTAAGAAATATTTATAAATTACATCACAATAAGTATATTTATATATTAAATATATCTAAAATTTCTATATACGTAACGTCGGGTTGGTTTGGTTTTGGTTTAACTTTCTTTAGTTAAAACGAAACCAAAAAACAATTATGGTCGGGTTTTTTTTCAACATCAAACCAAATCATAGTCGAATTTTTTTTCTCGGTTTGACTCGGATTATCGGGTTGGCTCGGTTTGCCGGTTTCCTTTGTACACCCCTACTTTTTATATATCTCATAGTAGATAACTTTTGTGGATGGATACTCGGTTAGCAATAGTTATCTTTTACCAATAATATATTAAAAAAATTATACGGTCAGCATATAAAAGTTAAACTCATTTCTTATATATGCATAGTATATCCACTAAATAGAATATAATGTAAGGTTTGGGAATCTTACAGAAATGTACCAAATAAGTTTTAACTTACCAACCTCTAGTTATTAGCCATAAACCTATCAAAACTAGTCAAGCACATATAAAAATTAAAAATCCAAAGAAATAAGGTTATTTTTCTCCAAGAATCACACATAAAGATCTCCTTCCATATTTTTATGCGTGATCAGCAACATTACATGCAAGACGAAAAAAAAAAATTATGGATGAGGTCAAACAAGGTGATGAAATACAAATATATATATCCAAAAATCTAAGCAAAAAATGACATTTTTCAATGGGTATGGTTGAAATTCATTGAAAACATATATATGAATCAATATACAAATTTTGAGGAAGATTGGAGGTGATTTGGACCGATTTGGTATAAAAAATTCGTAGTTAAAATCGAGTTCAAAAAATTCTTCTGCGACACATGTATCGCATGTATCACACACACAGGTATACATGTGATACACATTTGATACAAAATATGATACATAAATGATACATGTGATACACATTTGATACAAAATATGATACATAAATGATACACATATCATTTATTTTCATGTTCCATCTTCTACTTCCAATTTTCAATTTAAACCACCTCAAAACTCTGCCAAATCATCCCAAAACTGATATTCAAACTCCTTAAGATGTACCCAACCTATTCTAATAACACACACTCAAAAGAAAGCAAAGATGTGACCTTTTTTTAGCTACAAATAGCTAATTGGCTAATATTAGTAATATTTAATGAATTGGCCAATTTTTGTAAAGCTACTTATAAATGGACATAGCTGGTAGTTTTCCATAAGATTTACCTTCTTCTTGATCTTTTTTTTTTTTTTTTTGGGTTTATTAAGTCTTATCTGTTAAAGTCCACCAGCTCGAGGCATGGATACAGAAACCCCAACTCCGTTAACTATTCCGCGAAAGTGAACAAATACCCGATTTTTGGGCCATCGTTTATGTTGTATTCCAAGTGGAAATGTCATTATGTAGCTACTTTTAAGTATGTTGTTTAAAATATATCTACAGTTTATAATGTATTTAAAGATTATCTGATTTCGCTCAAACTTTAGAAAACAGCATCCTAGAGTTTAAACCTCAAAGTTGTTATCACTTCAACATGCAACTACAAAATCAGGTTTGAAATTATTATCCCTTAAAAGTGCTACTTCGGAATCTGAGATCTTATAACTTCGAAGTGCAACTTATGAATCGGATCTGAAGTTTAGCTCTTCTTCTTCCTCTAACGTTTTGCACTTTAAACCAGGCATAACCTCCACAAATTACCAAAAATAGCTACTATGAGAGCAGTTCTTAAACCTCCATTAGACAGCTAGTTTCCTCCGCTAAAAGCTCCATGAAACAGCTATGAGAGCCACCCAAAACAGCCACCAAAGGACCACCTTTTTATCTCCAAAATCAGCCGAAACAGCCATCATAAAATCATCACTGCTTCCGCCATGTAAAAACTGCGACTTAGCCGTGCAAAGAAAAAGAAACGACAATGCAAACAAAGAGGAGCAACAGCACTGGGTCACCGGTCTTAACTCTGAAGCACTCTTAGCTAGCGTTTGGCCATAAATTTCCAAATTTATTTTGAAAATTTTGATTTGGGTGAAGTTTGATTTAAAGATGAAAATGTGTTTGGACATAAGTTTTCAAAATATATTTTACTTTTTTATTTTGAAAAAATATGAAACATGACTTATACCCCAAGTTCTAAAAACTATCACAAATACCCAACAGTACCTTTATCAATAACATTCATTATACTATCGCAAATCATAGTCCTGAACATAAATAAATTTGGTACAAAATTATTATTTTTTATAATGAACTACATAATATACTATCAGATGTAGCATCATTATAACAAAATAATAAATGGTGGACTCTTTTATAGAATATAAAAGTTTGGGACTATTTTTAAAAAATATAGTAATGATATTTTGGACCAAAAGCTGGTTTTGGGATTTGGGTTTTGGATTTTGAAAATTTGCCAAAATGTAGATAAAATCTATGGCCAAACATGTATTTACCAAAAAAAAATCCAAATATATTTTGGCAAAAACTATGCCAAACGGAACCTTACAATCGGGTATAAGTTAAATGGGGCGATCAAATTGGACGACCGGTGAAATGTGAAATTTTTACAAGCCGTTCAATGTTCTTTGGTTAAGAGCCCCCACCTTCCGTGATTATTGGAGTACAAATTTAGACTTGAAAATGCCAGAATTGGTCTGACCCATTCTAAGCTGTAAAAGGGATGTGGATCAGTTGACGTGAAGCTTCACCATACAACCAGTTAACCACAATTAAACCGCATAACCACATTTCTCCAAAAAGTTTTTAACTTCTATATACTGTTTACCTAAACAATCCAGCTAATCATTCACAAAAGTTGAATAGTAACCTGAAAAATAACGCAAGTTACCTACTTTATAGGTTAAGACACAGTTGTACTGTGAAACTTTTTCTAACATTACACCAATGTATATAAGACAGATCTTTTCCAAAACGCTCCCAAGAGTGGCCTGCATCTCTACATAACATGGGTCATAGTCTCATAGATCGAGCAACCAGGAGGCCTTTGACCCATAAACATTCTATAATGGGACCCTTAACTGAAATTGAATAGGCTAAACAAGTATCAGCTGTCCAAACGACTTGATATTACATGACCCAATAGTCTATTCTCCATTATCCACTTTAGCCAAACATAATAAGTATGCTTTACGGTTTACTGATCCATATTTGCAGCTTGCCTGCAAATGTTTTGTAGAATGGCAGAAGTCTTTTTTTTCCCTATTCATAAAAAAGCGAGTTTATAGAGAAAGGTCTAAAGCATATAAGAGTTGAGGGGACTGACTTTAACTTAGTTCTAAAGAAACTAATGTGATCTCCAATAAAAGATTAAGTTTTAAGGCTTACCCATGATACAACAACCCAACCCCCCCCCCCCCCCCTAAAAAAAAAAAAAAAATCTCCCTACTGAAGTACAAAACTAAGGAAAGCATATTACTTCCTCAACTTCAAGTGTGGCCCTTTCCAAGTTGTGTTCCTTCTCCGTAAGAAGTTCTTATTTTCTAAACTTGATAATGGTGGACACTGGAAGTGGCCAAGATATTAAACAAATTCGTTCACCCTATTGCTATTGCAGTTCCACAAAATAATGGGTACTAAAAACATTCAAGGATATAAACCCTTATATTAATCACCATTTAAATATATCTGCAAAATTAAAATGTGCCCTAAAAACTAGACATGAATCTCTACCAAGATACAATCCCTCCCTGTTACCTAAATAAATTTGTCTAGTTTCAATTGCTTGTTAGAACCTGGAGGCCGGAAGTTCTCTAGCCGCATTGTAGAACTTCTGCAGATTTCTGACACGACGGACTCACCTTTTTCTAGCTTGATTACCTCCAAAGCACTCCCAAGAACTTCAGCGGCAAGCCCTATTTCCACAAGGCGTCCTTCCTCTTCCCCACCTTTGTATATCAAATGCCCAATTTCATTAAATGGTAGCACATTTTCCAGTATGACCTTTGCAAAGATGCGACCAAGAAATTCTGCTGCTCTAGGGGCATCATTGACAGCGTCCTCCAAGGTAACCAGAACGGATTCAAACCTGACAGAATAAACACAAACATAAAGTTAACCAGAGACTTCAAGTGGTTTGAAGTTGTACTTGTGTTTTACAGGAAAATACACAGCTGCCTACCCTTTAACAAGCTGATCTTGACTTATTGTCACATCTTGAGATTTAGCTAGACTGATGAGAAGCTTTGCCAAATGATCCCTCTCCATATCCTTCCTCTCGAAAGAGTCAGTAACCCAAATTGAAATCATTGATGGATAGAAGTTGGGTGCATTCAGGTCTTTTACACACAAAGCAACCTCTTTCTCATCTTTCGCACTGAAATGAAAAGAGGCTCAAGTTAATTAATAATAAGCTGAATTAAGTCACAATATACTGCACAAAATTACGTACCAAAACAACGGGTGTAGAAACAATGCTACATTTATCGTTCACGACTAGGGTATTAGGAGAATCAACACTTGTTAAGATGACAAATACTAAAAGAGCTTATGTTTTTTAAGTATGAGATCTTAATTACCAGATATTATAAGTTTCAATTTCCCTATTAAAATAGGAGACAGAAAAGCTGGATAGTTAGAAGGTACATGTTCTCAAACAGTGAGCAGATTCTTATAATACACCAACTCTTAGTCAACAAAATACCGAAGTTCCTCGTGCGTCAAACTGCCAAGAAAGCACACCAACCCAAACTATGATCACAGCTTTTCTAAGTTGTCACCGCAAATGCTTTTGCAGATATCCTGAAAATCAATTGTCAAGCCTGAATTTCAAACTTAACCCTGCGCTCCTTTTTGGTTGGTGAACGGCTCTTTTAGGATTATCATGGTTTACAACATAAATAATGACTACTCAACATCAAACTACTTGAGGTTGGCAATTGAAAGAGGTCTTCCTCAAGATCTTTAATTGCCGAAACGTAAATATAAGCCCACACTTCCTAAAGGTTCAGAAGGTCATGATGATATCTTGAATAAGTCAGCTAAGTAAAAAGGGCAGCCGGTGCACAAAGCATCCCACATTCACGTAGAGTCGGGGGAAGGGCCGCACCCCGGGGTGTGATGTAGACAACCTAACCTAACACAAGCATTAGTGGCTGCTTCCATGGCTCGAACTCATGACCTATAGGTCACACGGAGACAACTTTACATTGCTCCAAGGCTCCCCTTCAAAATCTTCAGCTAAGTAAAAACAGTTCAAGAATGACACCCAGTGTTGAGCCAAAATCTTCAGCGTAACAGAAGCAACTTTCTGTAAACAGTTCTAGAATGATACTTATTTTAAGTAAATAAAAGAAACCACTCTAAGCTGGTCTCTGCACTGCACATGAGCCATAGCCGGACCAATACCAGTATAATGCAAGTAAATAATAATCAGGCAAAAAGTTAGTTAAGAAAGTACCTGTAGAATTCCTTGATAGCAGCCATAGACATTTCCCGCAGACGTTCTTCTGACCAAATCTTCTCAGAAGCAACATTCTGCGTGGAAGTTGGTCCTCCACTTCTCACAGGTGGTGAAGCAGGCCGAGAAGTATCAAATCCACGATCCCTACTCCCATAAGTCAAGTTCCTTTCTGGTGCACTTGCTTGATCATGTTGACTAGAAAATCGATCAGGCATATATTTGGGTGTAAGCTCCTCTCTTGAAACATAAGGGGGCCGTTCAGGCAAAGAACCATAGCCATTTTGGGCATGTGTCATCCTTCGAGAATCTCCAAAATTTGGCACGTTATCAGTGAATGGAATGCTTGGCGCGGCAGGTTGGCCCCTAGAAGACATTCCCTTTGCAAGACCACCTTGGGGCCCAAGTGTGATTGGATCATCACCAAGAGGCCTCTGTGTAAGGGGAAGTGATATTGTCCTATTATCGAAAGAATGTCTCTCATCCACCCGTACGTCCTGCATGCCAAAGCCACGGACCTGTGGAGACATAGGACGGAAACCACCCATCTGAGAGCCGGGAGAAGACAACATACTCCCTCTTGGAGCAAAATCCATTGGTTGACCCCTTCTAGTAGAACCTCCCAAACTAGGAGTACGAGCAAGCCTAGTAGTTTGTGCATGTCGTTCTTGGGCAGCATCCCTATGCACTTCCTCGATCTTCTTAGGCCCTTCAACTTTTCTCCTTTGCTGCCATTTGTTTTTTCTTAGATCAATTGAATCCTTCAACATAAACCTCACCCTAGAAGAAAGTTTCATGTTATTTGATAACTTTTCCATCCTATCGAAGTATGCATCCATATGTTCCTTTGCTTTGGCGTGATCTATCATATCCCCAATTGTACTCATCAACTTACACAAAGCTTCAATATTCTCCTCGTCAGGATTATGATAGTCACCTAACAACTTCTTGATGCACTCATGCATAATTCTCTCTGTCAACATTCTCTTCTTATAAAGTTCTCCGATCAGTCTGATATTCCCCAACATTCGTCGCCGTGCTTTGACTCTTTTTTCCTCCCTCTCCTCTGCTGACAGTTTTACTTCGCCTTCCTCGTTGGTCACATTAGCCTCTTGTTCTTCTCTTTCTCCTCTTTCAAACTCTTCCTGACATTTGTTCAGAAGTAACCTCTTAAAAGTGATTTTTTCATTGTCTACGCTCAGATCAGGCAACTCTGCCGCTAGGTGCTGACAGAAGTTGGCATACATCTCACAAAAAGTTGGTTCCATCAAAGCTTTATCAAATATCTGAGAAATTACACCATTGAGCGTCACAACATTGTCAATATTGACCTCTTTGACTTGCTGGAATAATTTTTCGAAGTTCTGGGGAGTTAGCTTATTTAAAATAGCTTTCAGCTGTCTCTGTTTGGCTTGTTCCTCGTCTGTTATTTTACCTACTTCATACTTTCTTTCAGCTTTGTGCATAATCTGTGCTGGTGTCTGAGGAGAAGGCATTAAACCTTTTTGGAAAGCAGTTCCACGTTGCCACCTATCAGCATCAACCCCATTTCTCTGGACTCCTCCATGAGGACCCATAGATTGCATTGGTCCAGACAGTATACCCCCGGCATACTGAATAGGCATCGGCGCTCGAGGGTGTCTCAAAACACCATAATTGCCACCTGGGCCAGGTCGAAATCCCATAGCATTTCCCCCATAAACAAGGTCCGGCTGTATATCTCGCCCAGGCATAAGAGGCCCAGTCACCTTAATCCATTTATCTCCATCCCCAATGCCACCTCCGCGGCGTTCACGATGTCCACTAGATGGCCTATCAAGAGCTCTTCCAGGACTAGGGCAAGGCTCACGGGAAACACTGATGTTCGCATTTATCAAAATATCAGCTATATCAGAAGGAACTTGAAAACCCTCAGGAATATCAATACATTGTTCTGCAAATTTAAGTAAGAAATCTCTTGAATATTTCTTGGTTGTCATACCATCACCATCTTCACCATCAACTTGCTTCCCGTGCTCTGGAGCAGCTTCTAGTTTAGGAGTAGATATATCTGCGGCATCCTCCCAGTCATCTGGCTCTGCTTTAACCTCACCAACCTTCTTAGTTGATGTAAGATCTTCCTGAGGCGCATCATCAGATAGAGGCTTCGAGTTATTCTTAGAAGTGATTTCGCCGGCTTCGACAGATGGAGCAAGTTCATCTTTTTTCTCTGGACCCTTGTAAGCCATATAGAGATCAGAAGTCGTGCCAGCAGCATCTGCTTTCTTGTACAAGTCTTTCTTTTTCTTCTTTCCCCTAGCCGCAGTAACCTTAGGCACATTGGAATCCACCAGAGATTTCTCCTTGACACCAGACGACGACTTAGCTACACCGGTATTATCAGTTTCAGTTTCTGTATTTTCATCTTCACACTTCGAAGTGGCCTCATCAGAATTTTTAACCAAATTAGAGGCAGATTCCTGACTTACTACAGCTGATCCTGTCACAGCAGCTTCTTCGGGGTCTGCAATATCTGATGCCTGATCATCTTGAGCTGAAAGACCTATTGCTGACGTGCAAGCCTCAGTATCTGTAAAATTCTGATTACAAGTGAATGATGTTATGCTATCAGCCATACTATCAACTCCAGTTGAACCGGCAGATGAATTTGTATCTTCCTCTCCAGTTTCCGGCCGACGGCTCTCAATGTTGGCATTTGTTGCTTTCTCCGGAGATCCCTCTTCGCTCAGGCCAGACACCTCAACAGATTTTACCAGAAGAGATCCAGAAGATGGCTTCGAGATATTATTCTCACCCTGTTCACCAACCTCCGGCAATGTTACTTCATATTTATCCCCAGTTTTAGGTACTGGCTCACCTGCATCCAGATTTCTGGAATCCAAAAGTTCGGGTGAAACTTCTTTTCCACTATCTCCAGTAATGCAGCTTTTCAATTCAACGGATTCTGAAGGAGAAAGATTTTCCCTACTGTTTCCCAGTGCAGCAGTGCCCAATGAAGCAGCAGTCTTGACCTCAACTGGTCCAGTTAGTGGACACTGGGATGGGGGACTTGAAACTGAGGTAGATTTCCCAAGAGCCTGTGAAACTTTCGGTCATAAGTAGGATCGAGCTAGTATAGTACATTCAAAGAAGTATGCAAATCAAATACCTTATCCTGCATAGTCACCTGTCCTCTTATTACTTGTTTTTTCTGTTGATCTTCAGTGGGTTCAAGGCCGCCAAGTGTTTCAGTTGTTGCATCTACGCTACTATCTGTAATTACAGATACTGAAGGCTCACTGGGAGCCTGAGAGGTCAATGATGATACACCAGCTGCTGGGCTCTGCTCTGAGATAGAATCAGCCACTTTAATAGATTGTATGTTTGCTACAGGCCTTGATGCAGATTTTGAAGCATTGCCAATCTTTGACTGTGTGGAGGAGCTCTGATGTAAAGTGTCCATGTCTTTTTGAGGGTGAGCTAAATCTCCTCCCGGAGGCTTCGAAAGTCTCACTTGATCTTTTCCAAAACCAGCTGAACTGACAGATGGTAATTGCTCTTTTTCTGGATGTGTTCCAGCAGCCGGTTTCACTGTCACCTAAAGTTGATTTGCATGAACAAGATAATATTATGTTGTGAGCATAATATACGACATTCAATTGTAAGCCAAAGAAAAATTAAGATAGAAAAGTCCACACAGGACTTGAGCTTTGACTAACCTGACTAAAAATCCTTGGTGGCTGAGAACTCTGAGGGTTATTGAGAGGGAGAGAACTTGGAGCTTGAAAGTAAACAGAACTGGAATTATAAGAATTAGGATAATAGTTAATAGGATGACCAGGAGGAAATGATGCAATAGGCTGTGATTGAGGTGGCATATTAGGATGTGACCTCGAACCAGGAGTCCCATCAAGCCTCAATTCTTCATGAGTTTCTGGATGAGTAATCTTCACAGTTTTACGTGCACCTAGATACTTTCCTGCCTGCTGTTGAGGAAACTGTGCCGGCATATTCATTCCCATGTTCCCCAACTGCGGAGGTAGTTGAGGTCCCATTCCTGATGAAAAATTCAGGCCCTGCCCCTGATGCATCATCCCTTGAGACTGCATTGGGTGGGGTTGAAGACCTGAGACATACATTGGCTGCTGCATAGGCGGAGTGCCAATCGGCAGATGCATCGGCATTGGCAATGATGTAGCAGACATGGAATGAGACGGAATTTGTGGCCCAGGGCCACCAAATTGAACAGGAACTTGTGGTGGCTGATGAAATGGAATTTGCATGTGCATTCCAGGCATGGGATGTGCAGAAGGCTTTTGAGTTTGGGTCACTGGAGGTGGAGCTGAAACTTGTACATCTCTTTTGGGCTTGGCGGCCACACCATGAGACTCGCCAGGATTAGACTGGTTCCGGGGTCCTGCATCCTTTCTTGGCATTGGCTGGTTGGACGTAGATGGAGTTGGCAATGAAGGTATAGCTCTTGAAGTGTCACTGCGAGCCTGCATATTAATGAAGGAGGAATCAGAGACATAAGCAACTTAGAAAGGTCGTGAATAGCTTGGTCCATGGGCAACAATAACATCACAATATTTCAACAATAACAAAGTGCTTAAATGACAAGCTCTGTAATCAGATCAGGTAGCAGTTATATTATAATCAGAGACAAAAGAAGATGAAACAAAAACCTGGGCTCTTTTCTGCTCATCCAAATTAGGTGGAGCTGAGCTCGTCCGTGCAGGTATCTATAAACATTGTAAAAGCATATCCCTCCATTATTAGGGCGAAAGTTTTCAAATTAACCAAAAAAAGAAAAATACCATCTATCGTGGAGTCTAGAGATACCTGCAGTACATTCATGACACCAGGACTTATGGATCCAAATTGAAGTGGAAATGACCTAGATGCATCTCCAGAAGCTAGAACATCAGAAAGTAATATCATTCAGTAGTTGGAAGTACAACTATAACAGAGATACAATACATAGGAAGTATCACCAATATTACTACACAGTACACACCAAACCACCACCACCACCACCCAAAAAAAACAAAAAGAGTACAAATAGACACATAAAAAGCCTAAGAAGATACCTTTTGCAGGAGTGACAGGTGCAGTCGACTCAGAGGTTGATGCAACAACATTAGAAGTTGGAGCTCTTGGCACTGCTCGGGTGATCTTCTGAGTTGAAGCATCAGTCTGCTTAACAGGAGCACCTGGAACAGGTGCATTCGCACTAGTAACAGGTACATCTGATGCACCTGCAACAATAAATTAACTGCATTACTTAACTTAGTGGAATTGAAGTAAAAAAAAAAAATACTAGTAATACATTCTGTTGCACCAAACTACACAGAGTCATCAAAGCAGTTGACTTTAAACCTATACAGACCATCATAGCCTTCAAAACAAACTACTTCACAACCCTAATACACATGCAAACAAAATTATAATCAATTGACATACCGTGCAATGCTTGTTGTTGGTGGTGATGAGCACCATTCTGATGAGAATCCGATCCAGCACTAGCACCACTTACCCTATGTTGCCCTCCTTGTGCATTATTATACTTCTTGTTGAAACTAACAGCACCAAACAAAAATGGAAATCTAAGAATCACCAATAAATACTGGGAGAAAAACCCTAGTTTTCTACAAAAATATCAAATTTCAGAGAATGACTCAGCAACAAACGGAAAACCCACCTTCTATTAGAAGATAGAGAGGGATTGGTGGTGGAAGAAACAGGAGGGGCGGCGCCGCTGCCACCGCCACCACCACCACTTCCTTTATTACCGCCGCGGTGCTGATTAAAGCTACCGGATCGGCCGGTTCTCCTGTACTGAGAAGACTCGCGAGTGTCAGCCCTTGATTGATTGTGGGACATAAATCCAGACCCTCAAAAACCGCTTTATTCTGTGTTTTTCCAATTTCTATCTACAATACAACAGATCCACCAATCAATTCAGCAAAAAAATCAAAACTTGCATAAAAAATCAATACTAAAATCGCTATAAGAAAATCACAGAAACACACTTCAATACAAAGCCAAATAATTGAGCTTTTCACCCAACTCACCAATCAACAAACCCTAGAAACAGTGATAGTCAGTTACACTAGTTTTACCTGAAAAGAAGAGTGGCGAAATTAGGGTTTCAATGAGAGTGGCGATTGGTGAGAACCATGACCACACTGCTAACGAAAAGGAAGGAGGAGAAGAAGAAGAAGAATGAGAGGAAAAGGAAAAGGGTGCGTGTTGTATTCTGAGCGTTTATGTGGGGTTTTTTTTTCCGGGCAAAGCGAAAAGTTTTATTAGAGAGAGAAACTACAGGGATTATTAAACACTTACGAATAAATGGGAAATTTATCTGATGGAAAAAAAGATGGAATATTTATATTTAAAAATTGTAGTATCTTTTTTCTTTTTTTAGTTCTTTTTGGTAATAAAACTTGATTGACCTAGGTTGGTTGGGACTTGGCAACAATCCCTACCACCTCCCAGAAAACATATGTACTCAAAAGTCACACAATTCAAATTATAAAATTTATCTTGTTTAAGCAAGTCACGCCACTAACTTATTCAAATTATAAAATTTATCTTGGTTAAGTAATAATAGAAAGAACACATAAATTAATCATGATTAAATGATAAAATTTAGGTAAAAGAATATGTAGCATCTATTAAGTTAGTTTTGACTGTGCAGAAAAATTTATCCTTATGTACATACACTAAAGCCCTAGGTCATTTGGTAGGAAAGTAAGCTATGCAAGAATTGATAATGTATGAATTGTTATACAAGAATTAAAAATATTAAATTTATAATGTATGGATTAGGAAGGAATAAATTGTAATGGAAGAATTATTTCTTATTAGATACTCGATCTATTGTATAACAAAAAACTAACATGTAGTAGTGTATAATTTATTTATTTATTTTTAGCAAAATTATTTACTATAGGAAAGTCAGTTTTGTCATTTTTTTTTGTAGTTTTCATCCACGTATTATTAATATATGTACTCGTATTCCACATAACTTTTTTGTGTGTGGAGTATTATTTATGCGAAAAAGCAAAATATGAACCAAACATTATATTAACAAGGCTATATGTGTAAGAGAAAACCAACATTATTTAAAAAAAAAAAACATAGTAAATTGTACCGGGAGATTATCTCTTCTTTTTTTCTTTTTTGCAACCAAGCGATACCTAAGTGCATGATATAGGTATTTTAAGTAAGTTTCTAACTTGATAATAGTTAATTGATATATATTCTTATATTAATTTATTATCTAATTATGGTCAGCTAACATAATTTGGTGTATCCAATAATAATGAGTGAAATTTTTTGGCGAAACTAATAAGTATCTTTTTCTCACAAAAATCGAACATATAGTAACTACTCATTAAATAGCACTTCTTTAATTGTTGTTTTTAGAAATATTTAATACACAAGTATTATATTTTGTAGTAATGTTTTACATATAAATTAAAAATACAATCTGTTTTTTCGTCATAAAAAATATGGTATCCAAATTTACAAAAAAAATATTTAATGCATAATGCATTGATGAGCCGATCCTACCAGTTTTCTGGTCTTTTTCTACCGGCACTGTGGAAAATGTCAAAGTGTGCGACCACAAATTATAGTTTGTCTTTCTAAACAGAAAAGAAAAAAAATTACAAAATTTTCTTTTCTTATTTGGTATATATGGATTGAAAATAGAAAAAAAAATTGATAAAACTTTAATTTTGGTCCTACTTTTTCTCTTAACGTCCCTTCTATATGTTGAGTTAAACACAATGTTTTACCTAATGATCCTTTCTTGTCCTTTTTTTTCATGATATGTGGTGAAGTTTTGAGTTTGAACTTCAAATATTGAGATTTTTTTCAAAATGAATAATTTACCTCCTTTCAACAATCTTACTTGATATGAATTTGAGTTATTCGGACCAATAAATTTCTCATATCAAATAATTAAATCGGAGCCAAAAAAATCATGGTACTTTTTGTTTTATACATAATTATAAATTTTTTCTATATTATCGTTGCGGTGTTGTTAAGTGTTTTAACTTATTATTGTTCTTGGAGATAATGCATAAAGACTCCATTCAACTTGTCATAGAAAATCATTTATACACCTAAACTTTACGGGTGTCCTAACACCCCACTATTGTTAAAACAATTGTATTTATTTACTCCCTCTTAAGCCCTGGCTGGCCGCGCGTCTTAGACAACACAATTGAGCGCATCTTTGCTCTCTTTTAATCGTTAAAAACACCCAAAATAAGAAAAGAAAAACAATTTAACTTCAATATAACCCCCAACCAACGGTAAAATCCATTCTTCCCTATTTTACCAAACCTAATCGAAGAACCCTATTTTTTTCTTCATCTAAATTCTGGCTAAATTGCCTCAAATTGCCTTTTGAAGTTTTGATCTTCGAAACCAAAGGTTAATCTTTCTCTGCATTAATAACCCTAATTTCTTTCTTTTATTATTTTTATGTCTTTCTCCTAAAATTCAATTTCTCTTGGTTAAACATTATAATGTGGCTGATGTTTCTAATTTTTTCGTCCGCAAATTATCTGACTTTGGTATCATATGTTTGTGTTGTAGTTGTTGCTAATGCCTTCAAAAGGCTTGAATGTGACAAGGCTTTGCACGAAAGAGGAAGAAATAAGTCAAGTGGAGAAATTCGATGCAACCATGGCTATGTGCTGCCTTTGTTAACAGCTTGGACCTATCGGAACCCAGAAAGAAGATATTGGGTTTGTTCATACTATGAGGTAAATAATAGTGAAAATTCTTCAATAATTGAGTTGTGAAAAATTATCATTAATTAATTTCCTTTGTTATTCATCTTAGGGTCCACGATCTTGTGATTTTTGGGTTTGGAAGAATTTCAAAATTGATCCTAGATCCAAATTTGTTATTCCAAACTGCTTGACAAAATGGGTGAACTTGAGACTGCATTAGAAGGCTTTGAAAATCTTATCAGGTCGAGGGCAACTTTAAAGGTTGAAAATACCACAGAAGGGGAGAAGATGAAGAAGATTGAGGCTCAAATTTCAAGTTGATATGAAGAAGATGAAAGAGAAGGAAAAGAAGTGGAAAAGCTAATTGTCTAGGTCCAAGGCTAGGGAAAATGTACTTTGGTTCATTATTTGGGGATGTGTATTATACTTGTTGCTTATAGGTATCCAGGAATATCATTGAAAGAAGATGCAATGAGGTTGTCATTTTGAATGTAATTTTGTCATCTCAGTATGAATGTAGTTGTTGCTTGTAGGTGTCATTTTGTATGTTTGAAATGGACCATTCATTTGAATGTAATGAACCTTTCAACGGAATGTAATAAAGTGTTGTTTTTATATTTTGAAGTGTGTAGGTGTGTTCTTGTTGTTTCTCTGTATGCCCAGAACTTGGCAATCAATCAAGCGTGTATCTTCATACATCTATTTTTAGTGTTTAATCACAACAATAGACACACAAGAGACTTAAATACGGCAGTTGCATAAACTGTATAAAAATATATTTTTTACTCTCATTGACCTAAAAGAAAAGACCTAATAACCAGTCACAAAACGAGATAACAAGACACCTATATCTCACTGTAGCAACAACTAAACAGACACCATAAGATAACAAAATGAGAAATGCAGTCTATAGCTGCCTAAAAATCCTTATCATAATACCGAATTGCAGTCTATAGTTGCCTAAGGTTTTATCATAATGTAGTCTATTGCAGTGCAGTCATCCACAAATTAGTATCTTGATCAATTGGGTGTTTTGCAGTGGTGCTTTCCTGGCTCAACTTAGTAGCCCTATACCTTGTTTGAATGAGTTTCTTACCTTTCAACCGTTGAAGCTGCATTGATGTCATAGCTTCTTTACCTTTCCATTTAACACCTCTGGTTGGTTGATGGCCTAGATCTCCAGTTACTTCTGTTGAAGACCTCACATTCTTAAAGTTTGTAGAGTACATACTAGGCTACCAAAATCCAACAGAAAATCAGAGAATGGATTCACCTAAATATGAGAGGTAGTGTTAGAACTTACATTTTGAATTTTGAAGCCACCTTGAGCGTGTAAAACTCTCATCCCAACCATCCTTGCCTGTTATATTGTTTTCTCATATCACCGCTAGTACCAACATCCTACATCAACCAATTAAAAGTAAGAATCTGTTAATAATTTAAAAAAGAGAAAGATGACATTAAAGGGAAGAAATTCACCTTTTCTTTAGAACCTTTTGGCCTATCCCTTCCTCTTCCAGTACTTTGCTTTGGAGGCTTTGAACTACCAATACTTGCAGGCACAGAACTTGTTGAAGTAGCGGCAGTATTACTTCCAGCAGCTTTATGACACCCCTTATGACCCTTGTTATGACAATAGCTACATGTCATTTTCACTCCATCTTTGAACAATTTTCCTGTCTTATTTTCACCGGGCTCTTTTATTCTAACCTTCTTTGGCCTGCCAGGAATCTTCTTAACATGAGGTGGTATAGTAGTTGGATTTTCTGACTCTGGCCACATATTCATATCCAAAACAGGCTGAACAAAGTAATTGTACATTTTCATATAAGTGGCATTACTGTACCAATGAGAAATATAGTTCAAAGGCTCCAGATTTTTATAATGTAGGCCAGCAACTGCATGAGCACATGGTATGCCTTTTAACATCCAAGCTCTGCAGGTGCATGTTTGACTATTGATGTCCATCTGATGTTTCACTTCACTTGCACCTGATCCTTGCTTCACTTCAAATCCAAACTCACCATTCCGAAAATATTACATTCCATTGATCTTTATGTGTTCTCTTCCAAGGCTTTCATGGCCATTGGTGAAAAATCAGTAATCCAAGTGTTTCCAAACTGTCAGGGTTGACCTATTTTGTTCATCATCTTCACCCTTATTTCTTCAAGCATTGTCACTATAGTCTTCTGCCTTGCTGCCAACATCCAAGCATTGGAAAATTCTACCATATTATTGTCAACACTGCCACACTTGCAGAATGTGTTGTAATGCACCTTGCTCCATCTTTCTATGTTGTAGTACAACAGTTCATCAACTATCTTATTATCCAATTTCCTCATTTCATCCAGATTTTTCTTCAACTCTCATTCATAGGTAAGCCTTGCACACCTCTAGAAGCAGTTCCTTCTCTCTATGCCCCTCTATTTCTTAGACCAGCTAGCTAGGATGTGCCTTGCACATATTCTATGCTCGGAATTTTGAAGTAGATCTGTTATAGCATTCTCAAGCCCCTGCAAAATGAACAATGATAGTTAGTTTTAAGTTAAATAGCAGTAGGAAAATAACAATAAACTACAAATGCTTA